TTCTGAAAAAGTCGTCGAAAAGACGAACATTTTGTCTCCAAAATGAAAACAAAAACACGAGCGAACAGCAAACTACGACCGCAAATCTCCATACCGGAACTTCCTGTTTAAGAATTTAATAATTAACTATTGGGTTGGCTGTGTTATTATATGAAAAAAAAACTATTTGTTTACAAATGTGGTATCTGTGATCTCATCGGAATGCACCAGTCTAGGCACATAAGTACCCGAAAGTGCAGTTCGCATGGTGCTTCGAGTAGTATGCTTACAAAACTAAATCAATGACCTTTCTAGCGTTAGGCAGTCTTGTGTGGGCAAAGATTTCAAATTAGAACAAGAAAAAAACTTTGTTTATCAATAACAAAAAGGCGACTTTAATTATTCTATAGGTATCATTTACTTTGTAAAGTATTTATTTTCTTGGCCAGAGAAGTCAACGTATTAAATTTCATGATATCACTTAGCGACATTTTGTCTACCTACCACTTTTGATTTTATCAGTAAAAGCAAGGACTCTTTTAAAATGTTCATATCAGTGTTAATTACATTCAATTACATGACCTTTTAGGTCAAGTTTATTTAAAGTCTCAAGAGAGTTTGTATATTTTGAACTAGACGCTCGCTATTTTAGAGAAAAATTAAGAAATATATATTTTAATCTAATTTTTATATTTTTATGTAATATCCTGTCTTTCTCAATTAGTTTCAAAAACAGCTAGTCCGACTTCACGCTCCAAGAGCGTCTAGTTTCCACCCTATACTATTATTCCATCCTATACCATTATTGGTTAATTTGGATTTTTCCACCCTATACTGTTATTATGCTCAGTATATGATTATTCAGAACTTAAGAGTAAACAAGTAGAATCACGTCTAAAATGCTATTTCCTCTATTTCCTTTCTTCAAATTGCGTTTTGTATTCATTAAACAGTGTTTTCTATAAAACATAGCTGTCTGTTCGTTGACYATGTGCTTTGATAACGTGACTATTCCGTCGTGAAGATTTCCGATGACAGCCACTGTCGGCAGTAAATGTAAAAAAATGTATTTTTGTTTATAAATGGTGTAGAAAAAAAACATTGATATAAATTTTGGGCAAAGTTATACTAGTAGATACACTTTTAATTTGCTAAGCCTGATTAATTTGCTAAGTTAAATTTTTTAACTATTTGACGAAAATAGCGTCAGGGGTAACCTTAACTAATGCCGGCTGCTGTTTTACTGGAATCTACTAGCGTTGGTCAACAATGAGAATAGTAAACCTGAGACCTCTGCTAAGATCATGGACCTTAGTTAATATCTGATAAAGGGCATCCTCATTAGTATTCTTTATATAACAAGGATTTTTTATTAGATATTATAAAGGTTTGTGCATTTGAGCATATTGACTCAGACAATTTAGATTATTTTTAACCAAAATTTATTATTATGTTAGTCGGAGTTTTTGAATTATCTTTTATTAGCATTGTAGATAATTAATTATTTTTTATTAGCATTGTACATAATTAATTATTTTAATGTAATCCAACTATGTGGCTACTAGGTAATTTTAATGAAATATCTTATCTTGTGTTATCCATTATATTATCCCAGTGGCGGTGTAAAATTTGCTGAATTGGACGAATGTGAAGGTAGTATATCTTTGAATCACAAATATCAATTTGACTTTTAATTATTGATTTAATAAATGTAACTATAAGACCATTGTTAGTCAGGGGAGTGCTGTCACAGAAGCCATGTTTTCATAAATGTTATTGGATGGCCTGTGCCAGACAACCTAAATAAAGAATGTGGGGCTTGAAAACAAGTACAATACCTGTGATAATTGGTGCTTTAGGACTTATTAAAAAAGGGATAGATAAATATATAAACAAAATTCCTGGAAATATAAAAATAGTAGAGCTACAGAAGAATGATGCTCTTTGGTACAGTACATATACTAAGGAGGACACTATCCATCAAGTAATACCAATCACAACTATGTATGGACTTCTTAAGTTCAAGGGATGAACACGGACCTATATTTTATAAAACTTTGAAAAGAAAACAATACAGATAATAATAATTAGGTTGAAGTAGCGCTTAAATCATGATGAATAGACCGACCTACAACCATTTATTTGATCTAATATAGACATTATATTACAATTCACATATTTTTGTAATACCTAATGCTAATACTAGCATAAAGCTAATCTAGGCAGGAATAAGAATTTTTGATATTTAAAATATAAAAATCAGAAGCAAAGAGAAAAATCAGAAGCAGAGAATCTGAGATAAATATGATAAAGACAGTACATAAATATAATTTAAAAAGTATAAATAATGAGAATAAAGAGGTTATAAATTGCTAATGATTATTCTCTGAATTATAGTTCCAGCAATTTCACTATAATTATCAATCTTTTAGTCAGTAAACATAACTCTTATAGTATTCTAACTAACACTAACACTAACACAAAAATTTATAAACCACAATTTTTACCATGTCCAGGCCAAAGGCCTGTGGCACGGGTATAAAATGCAACGACTTTATTATTTTTTTTTTCCACGTCTCAGTTTAGCAATCCCAAGGGACCCATAATCCAGAGTTCCAAGGTTCGATCCTCGACTGGAATACTTCTGTAAACTTCTTTCTTTTCTTTGTTTCTTTCTTTTTTTAACTGAAATATAAGTGTTCTAGTCATGTTAGATTTTTATAGTAKCAATTTGTTGTATTAATATTTACGAGCCACGTTTGTTAAATTTTAGAAACCAGATGATACTCGAACAGCCGGGCAGCGTCGAACAGAAGATTGTGGGTTCAAATCTCGTCTCGAGCTCTTTTTYTTCTTCTTTCTTTTTAAATATAATATAGTTGTTATAGTCATCTCATTTTCTGTAGATTTTGTTTTTAAAACAATTATTTTTGAGCCATTATTTTGATTTTCACACAAACTATCGTACTAGAATAGCATCGAACTTACTAGGATTGCGGGTTAGATTCTTGACTCGATCACTTCTAAGAGATTCTTTTTTCTTTTCTTCTTCTTTTTTACTGAAATATTTATTCTCCTTTTTCTTGTAGATATTTGTTTTACATATTTTACAGGTGCATTTCTTGAGCAAATTACTGCCAGGGGGTGGTGGTGGGGGGTAATCAGCATTTCTTTCGGCATAGCTTGCATCAAGCTGGAGTCRCATACTGCTCTAAACACATTCTGTTGCTAGTTTTGGCTACCTTTTTCTAATATTATGCATCCAATTCACCTTGTGAGAGGTATGCAGCCTTTACTCCTCAACAAATACGTAGTTAATGCTTCATCTAAAGGCTCTAAACAAGAAATTTTGTTGCACAAAGAAAGGAAGTTGTACATCGTCGTCTGCCATTTTTTCTCATTTTGTCAAACCTGCTAACTTCGTCTTTCGTTAAAACGTGAACTGTAATTGGCTGGTTGACATTTATATATTAGCGCAAATATCCACAAGTTCATATGCGCTGTACAATGTAAAGATTTAAATAACAATAAAACTTGTAAAAAGTAAACATTATAACAATAATAATGTCATTGATGACTTCCATACTAATATACACTATAAGATAATTGGGTTTTTTTCATTTTAACATAATATACATATTTAGAAATATATAAAAACAACCAAATCTTAAATTAATATCTTATAAAATGCTATAAAAGGAAATATGGACCTTTTTAAAAAGCCAGGTCTTTAGCTAGATCTGACATCACTTGGTAATGAGTTCCACAACTCAGCACCAGAGAAAGAAAACGAATGCAGAAGATTTGAAAGATAAGAAGGAACATTATTCTGTAAATAAACCTTAAAAGTGATTAAAAGTATTTTATATTGAATATGCTGCTCAACAGACAACCAATGAGGAAGACCATATAGTAAGGAATTACAGAAATCAAGTTTTGAGGTTACTAAAGCATGAACAAGAGTCTCACAGGCATTAATGCTGAGATTTTCTGAGAGATTTTTTAGACAACAGACCAATGCTACCAACACTAATGCAAAKTGTCTGAATACGTTAAAGATTACTTCAGAATAACAACATATTAGAAGGAAAAAGTTATCTATTTCATTTCAACTAATGTTATTTTTCTCCTAGTTTATAATTATCAAGAAAATCTTCTGAAGGTGATGCTTCAAATTGAGAAGACTTATTTTGATCTTGCTGACACATGTCATAAAAACTGTATCATAATATGTGACAGAGGAGCAATGGACCCTTCTGCATGTAAGACTGATGACTCCTTTATTTACCAAAGAGATATAATTTTTGTTGCTAAATGATTGCCAAGTTTAGTTAACATGACTCATTGTTATACATAGATATAGAAGCTGACAAATGGAAGCAGATTATGGACTCTAATGAAATGAATATAATTCAATATCGTGATGAACGCTATGATCAAATTCTTCATCTTGTGAGTACTAAAAGCACTAACCTTCTAATAATTTTAAACATCACAAAAATGGCAAAAAGTTAACATGCTACAATGGACTGCCACAACCATTTAGAATGAACTCAAAACTATTGGTTTAAACCATCTCCTAGTATATGTACTATACTCGTTCACCGGGTTTGGTTCTGACATTGTATTAGTTTCCAGTTCACTAGTTTTTCTTTGTTTTTCTTAGAGTTGTATATATATATATGATAGAAACCGATTGAAACTTAAAGCCGGGGAGGGATTTGATATTCAGCAGGGAAATGTGAGGTTGATGAATTGAATAGCTCAATATCCCAGTCACTAATATATAGCCCGCTAAATTTATATTGAGCTATTCAGTTCGATTCATCAACCCCACATTTCCCTGCTGAATATCAAATAAACTGCACAAGTAAACTAAACTAATTTTTTCCCGTAAAACTACCAGTGTTGCTAGCAAAACCTAAGGGGATCGCAAGCCTAATAATTTGAAAATGTTGCCTCCGTTCTCGATAACAAACTCTTCCATAGAATGTAATATGTAATTACATGTATCACTAATAAGCTTACGTAACCAACTGTGAGCATGTGCACACAAACTGGTGCCGACATCAAGCACTAGAAAGGTGCAAGAGGCTCTAGATCTAGATAGAATAAGTTATTTAAAAGGACTGATCATCAGAAATGCAGCGCAGGTGCATCTTCCTATGATGTCAGACAATTACAAAAGAGAGAAAACTAAAAGAACGCTAAAAGAAAAGAATGCTAAAAGAATGCTTTGGACGAAAAACAAACAATAGTAAAGGCGGACATGGAGTAGCTTTCCCAAATTAAGTCGCCATCACAGACACACAAAACTTAAGAACATTTTCCGACAACTGTGAAAGCACCATCCACACCCTAGAAGCACTAGAATTCCAAACAGACTCCTACGGCAGACTTCTAATTCCTATCCTGCTAGAGAAGCTTCCAGAAAAACTACTATATATGATATTCAGGGCAAAACCAAAGGCGGACTCCTCCCTAAATGAAATGCAGACAGCACTTGCCAACGAACTAGACACATGGGAGAAAAGTCAGCCACCACAACATAACCACACAACCTTGAGCTCAAAAGTAGATGGCTTACTAGTACCAACACTAGACACTCTACTAATGAACACATAACCACCGAAGGCATCTAAAAAAGAGAAACAAACCACAAGCTATGAAGCACAACCATACATCTAATGCAATGAAAAATACATCCATCAAATGTGTAAAAACCATAAAACAAAAAACAGTTTTGACAATTTTGATGCATAAGAAAAGATGCTTTTGCTGCCTATTTTCAGAACACACAACAACCCAATGCCACTCAAAGAGAAGGTACCTAAGCCGCGGGCTCAGACATCATACCTCAATCTGCAAACGAAGCGCGAGTAAAAAGCAAGAGGAAACAAAATATGAACCCACAAAGAAAAATAAAAACCACCTCACAAGTGATGACAACCCTGTTGAAGACAGCAACACAGACAACCATACTGATGCAGACAGCCTTAGTCACAGCAAGCGGACCAACTGCAAGATGTCAAGCATGTATCCTTGTTGACACTGGCTCACAAAGAGCATTCATCATGCAGGAATCAATGGACAGATTACAACTACGAGACATCAAACAGGAGTCGCTAGACATCTTTATATTCGGTACAATGAATAGCTCTATCAAATCCTGTGACAGTTATAAAAAAGTGACAGTTATTAAAAGTGACAGTTATTAAAAGTGACAGTTAAAAGTTATAAACAAAGATGTCAGAGTAGTATATAGTTGGCATCATGGTCCAGATTTTGGTTAGTAATTGGTAGGCAATGGTTGGCAAAATACTAATGAGATGAAAATTGAAGTTCCTGGTTGGTCATTTATTCAAATTTGTACCCATAGAAACCCAAACAATGACACAATTGGAAGTGTTTGCTGTAGAACTTGGAGCAGAACTTTCCCAATACGTTGCAAAGACTGTAGTAGCTTCATTATCCTAGCTCACAACTATCACTGTAATTAATGTGGAGTGACTCCAAAATCGTGCTGTCATGGATACCATAGTAATGTATTCTCCCTGACAGGATGTCCACTCTTTGTCCCGGATATGGGGATTAAGTTATGGGTGACGCGATTCCGGAGACATTGAGTGGTGAGGAATATGAGGTATACTCGTCGCCGAAGGGGAGGTGGGAGGGTCGCTGAAAACTTGCTTGCCGTCGTTCGCTAGCTAGTTAATTGCGAAAGGATGACAAAACTGCCCTTGCCTTGGTTTAAAAACCCACACAGGGCCCCAGGGGAATGAAATAATTTTGTCCCGTGAATAAACAACTCTTTTGAACCTTATAAATAGAGCGCAATGAGAAAATTGTGATCATCCAATCAGTGAGAATAGTAATGTATTCTCCCTGACAGGATGNGGTATGCCAACACGTGTTTAACAAACTTTTATGCCAATAGCATGTACATAATAATCTACTACCCCGGTAAAACGAGTAAGCTTAAATGATATTTCACAGCCGACGTGGTGAATAAAACTAGCAAAGGAAAAAGGAAAGGAAAGTGAGATACCTCGTCTCGCTGAGGCTCGGCTTGAGCAGCTTGAGCTTGAGGAGCTTGCGGGGCAGCAGCGGGCGCTGGAGCTTGTTGGTTTTGCAATTGCTGCAACTGTGCTTGGTTGGGTTGAACCGGAGCAGCCATGGAGGTTCAGTGGGGCTTTGGCGACGAGAAGAGGAACACGATCGCTGAAAACTTGCTTGCCGTCGTTCGCTAGCTAGTTAATTGCGAAAGGATGACAAAACTGCCCTTGTCTTGGTTTAAAAACCCACACAGGGCCCCAGGGGAATGAAATAATTTTGTCCCGTGAATAAACAACTCTTTTGAACCTTATAAATAGAGCGCAATGAGAAAATTGTGAYCATCCAATCAGTGAGAATAGTCAAAGTTATTACAGGTAGCATTTGGTTGACACTGCATACAAAAGACAAGAAACATGACCACACAATGTTAGTAATGTATACAGAACGAGAGAGCGTACGCTCTCGAGTTCAGTATACGGCTTATCAAACTTTTAAATAATTCACATTTTCATGTTTTTGAAAAATTGATCGAATATCTTGCTGCATTTCATTGATTAAAATTATCAGCAGTAACGTATGTCTCCGTTATTAAATATTTATATATTATTGAATAGTGATAGATTAAATACTGTCTGATGAGTGCGTAGCACGAAACTCGGAGTTACAGCAAAATCTTGCCTCTTTGATATCATATATATATTATTAAATATAACGGTTTGTATGGCACCATAGTTTCATGAAACGACTGAATTATCAAGGGAATTTCCAAAATGATAAAATTGAAAGTTGGAAAATTGAAAGACAGAAGGTCCCCTTTCCGCTCTGTTATCAAAGGCATTCACTACGCAAGACCACTATCATATGCATCTATGCACCATTAACAAGCAAATGTCAAAGGCATACATATGTCTATTCACATGTACTGCTATACGCAAAATTCATCTGGAGTTAGTAGAAAATCAAATGACAAGTGCATTTCTGAAATCCTTTAGAAGATTGTGAGCAGAGGCATCCCAGAGTGCATCATAATTCGTAATTCATCTCAAACAACGCCAAACCCTTTAAAGCCCAATCTCAAGAATAACAAACAGTAACAGCTGAAATATCTGTAATTATCATGAATTAGCTTATGTAACCACCTGCAATCATGTACGCAAGTGACAATAAAGGATGAGAAACCCACTGTTGACTCCTTGGTCAGTCACACTGTCAGAACTTAATTGTGTAAATTGTTTTTGTATGTGTTCATTGTTCTTTAATGGGGAACTTTCTCCTGGTAGTCAGGTTATCCTCTCTCAGTGAAAACATCATGTGAGTTATGTGTGACTAATTGTTTAATGTAGATGTAGTGAGTCTGAAAGTCTAGAAGAAGTCCTCATTTTAACCATATTAACTAATCATTATGCTGAACTGAGCCAATATGAAATTTTTTTTTCCTGTAATATCTAAATATCGGAGGTTGTGTTAAAAATATTCCCATAACTTTTTATTTCCTTAACATGTAGGTCTCATGTGCCAGTGGAGCAGAGTCTTTTTATACCAAGGCCAATAATAAAACAAGAAGTGAAGGACTCAAATTGGCCAGGGAAATAGATTCAAAAACTAAGCAGGTATGTTTCAATAAACAGTGTTTCAGTTACATCTTAATACATATTAATTGAACTTTTGTTCTGCAGTCAATGTGAAACTGTATTTTACAGCTTCTCGAAGCAGTTTTTTTTTGGAAGCTACCTCGTCACTTCAAATTGCATTTAACGAATAAGATAATACAATTTGCGAAATGTTTGTAAAAACGCATTTTTTGGCCGCATAAAAATTCAAACTCGCCAAATTCAAAAACTTAAACTCACAAGAAAACAAGTGACACAACTTGAAATGTATGATCAATCTACTTTGGTTCATAAAAATTTTGTTTTTCGCCCTAAAAATGAGACTTTGAACATAATCACCAAGTGTTTATGAAAAATTACTAAAATCTTCAATCAAGTTCATTTTAATGCGAAAAGAAACTTTCATCTTTATCTCTTTTCGATATGAAAATTTATTGGACGTTGATAATGTTGGCGAGACKCATTTCACGATCAAACATTGACGGTGCCTTTAAACAAAGAACTACCTCCATAGCTTGTTGTATTGAGTTTTAGCTATAATTGTCTTCACATATGATGACATTGAGTGGAATAACTGTTTTATTATAATACCACAATAGCTGGATCATGGAATACCGGTCAATTTGSTATACCTGTCAATTTGTTACACAACAAGTCAATTCATTACAAATGTTTGGTGGATCCGGTTTGTGTTTATATTAGTACATTAAATAATCATTAGTATCTTATATAAAGTTAGATGTTGAATGAACTGATTTTAGTCAAGTTAAAACTTGACAAACTTTACATCCTGAACACCATATTTGTCCATTAACTACGATGATCACACCTTTTCATTATACAAGGGTATATTACGAATGAATGCTGGAACTTGAAAACTGCAAAATCAGTCAATCAAAAGACTTTTACAAAGAAATGGTTATAAAAGGTTGCCAACGCGATTGATTAATCACACTTTGGTTCGTGTTGACACGCGCTAACACAGGTAACCCAATCATGAGGAAGTGTTTTTGGATGTAGTGTAGTAATTATATAATGTAACATTTACACTTAGCTAATCAAATCGATATTCGTAACGAATTGAATTTTGTTGAGTGGCAAATTGATTGGTACCGAATTGACTTGGGAACTAATTTACCAGATACCAGATAATGGGAAAATACCCTTCCTTCACTCCAAAGAGCAGGATAGATGTTGATTTGTTAGATAAAAACAAGTTCTGGGTCATCTGAAAGCTAAGACCTGGTAAATGAAGACCTAAGATCCTGAAAAACGAAAACCCATAAATATTTTCTATATAAATGCCTCAAATACGAGAATCGAGAATCATATGGGGTCATCGTTTTCCTGATCTGAAAAAACGAAACCTTGAAATGGGGTTAGGAAAACACCCATCAAAATTGTCTTGAAACCGTCAAAAATAATGCCAAAGCCTTAAACAATCATAGTGTAAGAAGGCCTTAAGGCATTTATGTAGAAAATATTCGCAGGTCTTCTTAGGTTCCTATGTCTTCGTTTTCTGGGTCTTTGTTTTTTAGGTCTTAAATTTCTTGCGAACCAACAAATTCCATCACGTGTATATAGCAGTAACCAATTACAGTTGAACTTCTATTAAGTGGCCCTCTGTTTAACAATCACCTTCCATCAAAGTGCACATGATCCCTTTTAGAAAATCACTTTTATCTGAAAGGTAACACGCTTCCAAGCACATTCGTGAAGAAAGAAATCGATTTGAATTGTATCATTGTTTGTGATATGTTCTTAGTTGAAGAGCTTAAACCATCATGGTTTTTCCCCAAGGTGACTGCTTATAATAGAGGTGTGACTATAGTAGATCAGACAATCAGTACAATTTAGTACTTTTTATAAGTGAAATTAGTTGCATTGCAAATTATACTCAAATCCAAACAATTTCACTCTATTCTAGCGGAAGATATTTTGACCACATCGAATACTATTAGTACATTTGCATATCAAATATATCATATTTTGGTATAGGTCTGGGTTGGACATCCTTACTTTGATGTAATAGACAACACAGTAGATTTTGATGGCAAAGTTCACAAGGCAATTAAGGTAACTATYTTATAGTTATGGTTTTAGTGATTCTAGCTCACCTAAAATATCAGCTGTATCCAGGCCTGTTTTAAAATGTATCAACTTTAATGATAATAATAATTAATAATAATATAATATGATATAAGGAGGTTTATTAGTCTGAAGTGAGGGGGTTATGTGATATGTTCACCAAGGGAGTAGCCCGAGGTGAATATACATAACCACKAGCTGACTTATTTTTACATCAGTGAGGTTTTCAGAATAACAATGTCGAAATAAATTACACCGATATTAAGTGCAAACAATCAATACACGTAGAAAAATTTCTAAAGAACAAATTGAGACTATTGTATTTCTTTTGTTTATTTGTAAATTTGTGATTTTTAATATTTTCTTTCTATCATCCATTTGACTTTCAAAAGACATTTTTTTACATCGGTGAGATTTTCAGAGCAACCGTTTGAGAGATTCAGGTAAAACGCTCAATGCATGTTGACAGATTTAGCAGTAAATTCGTGATTGCTAAGTGCAAAATTTGAGACTATTGTGATTTATTTTGTTTATGTTTGACATTTAGAAGACATGTTTTTAAAAAAACGGCGAGGTTTGTAGAATAACAATTTTGCTAATTACACCAAGACTTTAGTGAAAGCAATCAATTCATGCAGCATGCGTAGACACATTTCAGCATTTTCGTGATTGTATTTCTTTTCAATTGTTAGTATTTGACTTTTAATGTTACTTTATTTTTCTTAATTAAGCTCTAATATACTTACAATTTTCTGGATCATATCAATTTATTCGACATTATTCTGATCGAGTAATGATGTCGAGTTTTTTCTCACGCAAAACAGTTTCGAAGGCAGCATCGCAGTATCTTCTCAGGTCGAGGAACTTGCTGCAGAAGAAAAAATTCCTCTAAATAYTATAAAAAGTACTGCCTGGGCTGCTAGAACATGGGACAACTGGGCTAAAGAAAGTAACTGTTTTCCTTTAAACCCAACTGACAGCTTTGCAATAGCTCCATCAATTCACCTTCTTAAAACACTGTGTGACTACGAACTTTGTTTCTGGTTGAGTAAGTTTGTATACAAAATAGGGAAAAACCGACAAAAAAGAATGTACAYCCAATTCACTAACTCAGTTGTGTGCAGGTTTGCAGTGAGGGAAATGGTCTACCACATTTAAAGATATTCGATAATTTTGCTAGGCATGTCATGTTACCATTTACATAGATTTTTAAGCATAGGACACCCAAGCTTGGTTTTCGATTATGTTCGACAGTGTTCAACAACCGCAGCCTCACAACTAATCGGGATCACAACTAATCAGGATCACAACTAATGAAACGCACATTTTGAACGCAAAGCCTATAAAAATTACAGCAACAGAAGTACATAACCAGAAGTGTCCRTCTCCCCAATAATATCGACACCATCAGATGTCCCGATAATCTATTTTTAGACAACCAATCACAACGCGCGCACATATTACACGGCACCTGATTGGTCCTTGTTGATCTACTTCAAGAGCGGACAAGAAAGGAAAATTATGTAGTCGATGGAGGCGAATGAATTGAAGTTCGCATTTTTACGAGAATTTTACACATTTTGCTGAACAATCATTTTTGAATTCTATAGAAAACATACTTTACTATATTATCAATGTAGCGAAAGTATTTCAAGAGCAATATGGTCTGCGAAAACAAGGGAAAAGTTCAGACAAAGATGAAGAAAAATGTAAAACAGCGTGCTAAGAAAAGTAGTGTAAAGTGAAAAGTAGCTTCCTTACAGTCAAATAGAGCTGGACTTAAACAAAGCCAAAGGTAAAGTAATTTTCGACTTTTAACGTGAGATGGAAAAGCTTTAAATTTTCAGGTAGGCGGGGTTTGTTTTGAAATTCAAGTTAGCTATCGATTTTTCTTTGATGACTTTTCTTGTTTGTGGCTTTTCACAACTTATCTTGTTTCATTGTTAAAGCGTGGATTTCACTAGCGCATAAGCATAGCATAAGCACAAGCATGAGAATCATATGCGCCAGTGAAAACGGTCTGGACATAAGCATAAGACAGTGAGCATGCGCACAAGCATATTATTTCGGTACCAGGCTATGCTTATGCGTATGCAGTGCCGTTCTCACTGAACATAAGCATGAGATAAGCACAAGAAGATCAAGCCTTGCTCATTTTTCTTGTGCTCATGCTTATGCTTATTTTGAGCCCGTTCTCACTGGCGCATATGACTCTCGTGCTTCGTTCTTATGCCTATGCTTATGCGCTAGTGAAATCCACGCTTAACTTAAAATTCGACATGATTTCGTTATTACCCCCTGTACCTATTCGCTAGTTTGTTTATTCCTCGCTTTTTCTTTCAAAGAATAATCATTTTTCAACTCCTTATACAATGAACTTAATATGATCTNACTTGGACAGTTTCTTTGTTATCTAGGTTTGAACATAAATGTACCAAAAACACAAATTTCTCTCTCCGACAGATTAAGATATTTTTTAAAAGAAATTGTCCCTTTAGCCTTAATTGTTAAAGCGGATACTATTTGACTGTTTCATGGTACTAACATGTGATATTGCTTTTTAAACAAAATTGTTTTTTGACACACTAAACCACACTAACTTTCAATGAAACATCTTTTGTCTATTGACCGTATCAATTGTAATCGTTGATACGGTTAAACCACAAATTCTTTGATGAATCAATTTAAGTAAATATCTATTTGGCTGTTGAAGTTTATATTGTTTGATTTAATTGGACTAGCGACATCGATWGTTATTATTGGTTTTTGACACTTGCGGTGATTTTTTTGCGTCTTTCGCTGCCAGATGTAGCGCTACTAGAGGTGGCAGCATTTACCCAAAGATCGCAAATTTTACATATTTAGTATGGCTAAAACAAAAGTCAAACTTAGTAGTTTTTGGGTAATTTCATCAGTAATGAATGTGGAGAAATGAAGCCATAATGTAACTTTAAGCTCTTTTATATGTTGGAAGCCCACGTGATCATGTGATCACTAGTATTCGTCGATTTGCTTCACCTTTGCTCTGGTATTCTGGTTTTCCTTGCGAATAATTTTTATTAGGCAAACTCAATTTTTTTCGCCCACCAACATTGAAATTTATATTGYTTGCTTAATAATTGAACTCCAAGTTTTCTTAGGGATTTAGTTGTTATTGTTTTTTGACACTTGCGGTGATTTTATTTGTTTTTCGGATCCCAGATGTAGCGCTTCTGGTCGTGGCAGCATTTACTCATAGTTGTAGATCGAGTGGTATTTATCTCACCGGCGCTCGCTTGTGTTTATCCAGAACCGAAGTTGAATTATAAAACTATATTCATAAATCGTTTATTTAAAATTCTATTCGTTAAGTAATTATAACTTGATTCATCATTATATCTTTCTGTATTCGTCTGCACAATCAATCTTCGAGTTGTGTTGCCATTGGCGGCTTGATTATAAAGCTATTTAGTCGGACTAGCCGAAGGCGAGGTCCGACTTTAAAATTACCTTTTAGCCGATCTATCTGTGTATCATGTCGCGTTTGGATCACCGGAAGTTAAGAATTTAATAATTAACTATTGGGTTGGCTGTGTTATTACATGACCGGAAGCTCAARCGTATTGATG